ACCAGAAGTAAATTTAGATTAAATTTACAGGTGGTATTTAGAACTGGCTTTCTACTAGAAGTAATAGCATATTTAAAAGAGAATTGGTGCCTCTGACAGACGCACTGTTCGGCAAGGTGGCTCCATGGGTCTGACTGCATGGAAACCCATGAGGAAGATACTATACAAAGGAGAAGGCTTTATTGCAGAGTTAATAGAGATTCTTCCACTTAAAAGACTATGAAGTGAGGCTTCCCTTTACTATTTTGGCTACAAATGTCCTCAAACCTACCTAAAATCCAATCTCTTTATATACCCAAAACAAGTGTGGGATTAATGTTTTAGAAGCATCACAGGCTCCCTCAAACCAATTTATGTAGACAGGCTTTATTTATTTTCTTGCTTTGCACCCTAGAACATCCAAAGAATGGTTTTGTCAGTTATATTTATTGGTGGAGTCAGATTATGGATCCAAGAGAACTAGCCTTTAACCAAATAGTGATACCTGTAGCTGCTGCTGAATAGCAATTCTGGTAGAAGTATTCAAAGTAAAAAGTAATTTGATCATTTATTTTTTACTCAGAGAAGGTATCTAAGTTATCAGACAGTATTAAAACATGCAAATTCAGAAAGAACTAAAAAAACTGGAAAACATCACTGGCATAGATTGAAACATGATATTTGGACAGCTGCATGTCAATGAAAATAATGTTGATAAGGTCAGCATTGCACATGAAGCTAGTTAATGAGGGACTTGATACACAAGTAAATCCAAACTACCCATTCAAGCCAATCTGGTCATCATGGATTAGATTATTTGTTTCCATCTGCTTAGAAAAACCCTTGCAAATAATTTAATATCTGATTTTGGCAGCAATGATGGACTATAACTACAGTATAGCGATCCACAGGGTCTTTGGCTTTTTAAAAGGAACAATCAAGAATGGAGATGATTTTTATTCTAATGGAAACAGCCATTCTCGGACAGAGCATTACAGGGCTAATTCGATCCCACGCTGTCAGCATCTGTTCAGGTGGAATGCCAACTAATACAGAAGATTTCCACTGCTGCATCAGTTGAGCAGCTACCTTTAATTCCTGTGGAGTTTACTAGGGATTGTAAATTTTCAGCTCTGTTAGTTCAGGAGGTAACTGAGATAGTTTCAATGCGTATAAAATTTTCCTGATCTTTTCCAAGTCTGCACTGGCTTCAAAAATTTAGAGATGCAAATAGCAATCTTGGAAAACTTCATTGATCTGCTCAGATACAAGGACTGGAAATACACAGTTTCTGAGGAAGAAATGGTTTAACACACAGATAAACAACGTTAGTATGATAGTATATTATGTATACAGTATGTTTAAGTTTTCACAATATCAACAACATATTTTTGACCTCCAAGCCCAAATCTAGGCTCCATGAAGTTGCCCCTCTACAAAGAGCACAACTAATGAATCTCACTGATTGTGTGTAGTGGTCTGCTTGTGCCATTGAAAGTAGTGTGCTACTTACATTACCAAGCTATCACTTTCTGTAAGGTCACAGGAGAATCGAACCAGTCTCATTCATTTGTGTTCCAGCTGTGGCATTAAAAGTAACTGCTGAGCTGCTTTCATCCTTGAGATATAGTGTTTTCACCCACCTTGTAGCTGGGCTAAGTGCTGTCAAACCCCCCAAAAGGACGGATGCTACTTTCAACTGGACAAACTCGCACTAGCAGAGCAGAAATGAATGACACCAGTTTGGTTCTCCAGTGCAGATGTAAGGGGTTTGGGTGACATTACTGCCTTTGTTTGTACTGTTTGTAGGGAAGCCAGCTTCATGGAGTTCCACACCCAGTGGGATGTGGAAGGTTTTAGAGAGGGAAGCAACATAAATGTATTATAAGAAGAAGTGTTAGATGCCGAATTGAACAGAAATTAAATTCTCCTCCTAAGACAAGTATGCACTCCACACAGTGTACACAATTCTAAGATTTTAAGAATTTTGTAATCTAGACAACATGAATCAAAAACATAAAGTGAATAAACTAAAAGCACAGCTTAATACAATTTAACATTACTGTGACTTTACAGAAACAACCTCTGATTTCATTATTAAAACACCTGCCAGTAATATTACTCTTCAATAAGAACAGCCTTTTTTTATCCTTTGTGCAGAAACCATTGACTTTATAATGCTTATTTTGTAATCTGTGATCATCTTCAAGTGGTTCTGGTGAAATAGAGCAATGTGGACATTGTACAGTGTAAAAATACAAACATTTAGTTCTTTTGATGGGTAAATTCAATAATGGGATTATTTTTGCTTTTGTTGTTCATGAAAAAGAAATGTTTTAATATGGATTTTAGTACATTTATTTTTCATTACATTACATGTATTATTGGTATGTACCAATAACAAAATATTACATACAAAATAAAAAATATTAATGTGATTGGGGACCTATTAGCATTTGATCAAATCAAGGTGTATCAGAAATATTTTTATAGTAAAGAGACAATTGACATGAAGATAATAATTGTTATAATTCCTCTTCCTCTGAATTATGTTCAGAGGAAACATAATTTGCCTACATGGAGATTTTTCTCTCTGTTTGCCTTAAAATCTGAATGTTAAAGGGACAATTGAGATAGTATATTGTTTGCACCTGAAGTCAATTCAGTTCCCTCTTTTGGGTTAAACAAATTGATCGAGCTGAAGCTCTTTATGTTGAAGGGACAAATGTACTGGCTCCTTCCAAATAAAGTACCAAGACAATTGGCTCACACATTGGCTCAAGTCTGTTCTTTATCAGGTGTTGACTGTTGGGTGATTAGGCACCCATAATAGAGTTGTGACCATTCTATCAGTGTGGCTTAGGTTGACTTAGTTTGAACTTTGTAGCTAAAAGACAAACAAAAAATGTGAAGGGCAAAGACTTTTTGTAAGCTGAAATTAAAGAAATTCAGTCAGAAAAATAGCCCAGAAACTGGGCATGCTACAATTAACAGGAATAGTGAAAAAGTCTAACATGTCTAATTATCAATCAACCAAAAATGTTTTTTTTTTCACTGTAGGTCCTTATCATGTTGGCCAGGAATCCTCTAAAACAACTGTCTATAAAATTATCAATAACCTGCAAGGGGTGAAGTTGACAAAATCCAACTTCAATGGACTAGAAAGACTTTCACAAAAAAGTGAAAGTGATGGCAGTGCATGATATAATAATAAAACAAATTAGCCATGTTATTTTTCCTGTTTGCTGTAGTTTTAAATAAATCTACAAAATCCACCATAGCTTCCACAGAAATATCAAATAATGTGTTTAATATAATGCAGTGTATTACGGCATAGAAATAGAAATCTACACTATTACAACAATATGTATCTGTACTTATGTACCAAAATATTTTAGATTGTCGGTCCTGTGTTTGAGACAAACCTAATTAGCATCCAGTTGTATTTGAAAACTAGTGTTTATACTAACCTTGAATACAATATCCTCCAATCCGTTGCTATACACACACAGATGGAACTAGCTCATTTATTGCTGTATTGATCCTTTTAATTTAATAAAATGATTGGAACAAAGCTGTGTAATGGAGCAGATGGAATGGTTTCAAGCTCAGTAACCCTCCTGTAAAGAGTATCTTTAACCTGGATCAATGACATTAAAGCAAGAAGATATCACTTGTAAACAGCATGCTATTAATATCCAGTTGTAGTAACAATTGTTCCTATTTTAGGCATAAAAAATATAAGAAAACATGGTGAAGTGCTTTAAGTCAGTTTATTTTCAGTATACATTTCATTTGAAAAATATAAATGCTAAAATAAATCATTTCACTTGTTTTTATTCTAAAAAGTCACAATAAAATCAATGAAAAAATATCAATTATTAATATCCTAGAATTAAACGTATGCTTCAAACAGCCTTAGTATATAGAATTTGTACGACATGCTGATATATTTGATTCTCTTTAAATAAACTCCATAAGTGATTTATGTGGTTATAACATTGCCTTATGGTAAAAGTACAGTACACTCAATTGTGCAGAGCTACATTGGTTTGGAAAACAGCTATAAATTAAAGAAATAACACAAGGAATGAACAAAACAGTATGGATTTATAAAAGATAAACATAACTTTAGGGATACATTACAGGTCATCGTAGTAGTTTTTTTTTAATTGTATTTTTATCCCATTTCTACACCATTCTTTATTTTTAAGATTAAGACACAGAAACTTTATTTTTTTTTAGTCCCAAGAGTATAAACTTTAGTAGACAGTGGAATACTTCTTAAAAATGCTGGAATTACAAATCAACATATAAATTAATAGTTGTTAAAACTAAAACAGCATCATGGGCTGAAACAAAAAGCAAAGATTTGATTCATTTAATGTTTGATCTCATTTGAAAACTTTGCAATTGAACAAAACAAACTAACCCTTCTATAAAATAGCTCAATTGATATATACTGTATTGATAGTTACCTGCATCATCATTTTACTTTACATGTATAAGCCACTTACTGTAGGTAAGCTACTTGGTGCAGAATAAGCGTTACTTCTTATCCAAATACAGTTGGCAATCTGCTGAAACCTCATTTTTAGCATTATTGTGCTTGCAACTGGGGAAAATGTGCTGTTTATAATTGAGCCTGTGTTGGCCATAACAAGAAAACATGAACCTGTAACATGAGTCATGCAGCCGTTTTACAATGTGAAAAATTGGACTAAGCTCAACTGAACGGCAAACTCTTCAGAAATAATGTCACACTGGTGGTACTAAACCCATGGCTTAATCTCCAATGCCATGTTTTCCAAGGACATTCTGAAACGGGAATTACTAAAACATCTAAAAAATAACACTACAGTGCATCTCCAAGAATCTTAAAATCGAATTTCAAAAAGCATATGGGAAACTGTTTTAAATGTACCTGAGTATTTCTCCAGATTCAACCCAACTGAACTTGCAGGTGCAGAAACATTTTTTTTAAATTGCAATACATTAGTAGTAACTCAAAATGTCCCCTTTACAGAATGATGTGCCTGTTTCTTTCCTAAGACATACAGTAGGTATCTTTCTGGCAACGTTGTATCACCAAAAACTATTTACAAGGAAAACAAACACATTGTAGGAACATTACTTTAGATTAAAAATGAAAGATATCTAATACAAATGACTGAATGTTCCTGTTTTGGTTCACAATAGTGAGTGATGACAAGCAAACCGGCTATCTTTTGAGAAATGCCTTTTCAGGGTAGTTATGGAAACATTAAGTGCTGTCCTATATTAAATTTACAGCTTGTTTTTAAGATTGTGTTATAATGCAGCACAAAAGCAGCATGTTATTTATTTTGATGTGGATAAAGTGCACATGTTGCTTTTAAAAATATTATTCCATCTGCAAACAGTTCAGCTTCCAAAAACAAATCAGTTCTTCACAAAATGAACACCAGGTACAGTATTTAAAGGACTGGTCCACTTTTCTGACCCCTCTGTACAGACACTTACAACTTCTGAAGGGTAATACCCATGAGATTTCAAAAACAGAGTACTATTCGGTCTTGCAATGATGCAAGGTGCTTTGGAAAATCTTCAGTACCAGAACTATCAAACACTGGCACACATTTATCTTAGTGAGAGAAGACTTTTGATTCAATACTTCATATGAGATATTCATTGTTTTTTGTTAAACAATCATCAAACAATACTGTATTTAGATCATCACTGTGATTACAAACAGCAATAAAAAGGGCATTAATGCAAACAGATCAGAGAATCATTATCATTAAATCTTCTTACAAATGCTGTAAGCCTGTCACTATTATTTGTATATTACAAATGTTTTTTTATTTCATAATACTTTTAATCTCTTGATTTTTTTTGTTCCAAATGAACTAAAAAAGACAGAACAAGAATAAAGAATATTAATACTCTATTAAAATCCTATGCTGTGCCCTTTAAAAAAAATATTAAAAAATCAACATAGTATGTTTTACAGAATGCCTGGCATCTAAAAATAAGAGGTAGAGCTACAAAAAAGATCAGATTATTCTTTTCCTGCTACAGGAAAGTTTAATTACAGTAATTTCTTTTTTTAAACAAAGAAAAAAGTTCAGATGAGAAAAATAAAAACAGCAGATTAGGCCTCAAACTTCGTTGCCATGTATATTGAAAAATGACAACATGAACTTCACTAATGCAGGACAGCAGATGACAATGGTGATGTTTTGCATAGTAAAGGATGTAAAAACATTTAATATGAGATGGCAGTGCTTAGTACTGTTTGTGCATGTGTGGAGGAAAACAAAAAAAAACAGAAAGATAAACAATTAAGGTTTCTCACACTTAAAAATAATTTCGAGGCATGAAAGTAGCATGGCAACCACAGTGCAAAAGTAAAAACACATCTTTCCTGGGTTATTCAGTTTCAGCTTGTTCTCTTAACAGAAAGCACTAGAGAGGGGAAGACGTCCTTCAGGTTCGTACAAACAATGCTCTGGTCCCTCAATCTTGCTTTCAGGAAAGAACAGAATTCCGGCAGTCTTGATTGCAGAAAGATATAAAGACAGGGTGGAAAGGTTTCTTATGTCTGTGCAAGGATTGGCTAGTTCAGAGAAACAGGCTGGATGTGTGTGCATTACAGTGATGTCTCTGATCCCCGACTCCTCCAGAAGAAGCCATTGTCTTCAGGTTCAAGTTCTATTCTAATTTGAGGCACAGCTTTTATTGGATTTCTTTGCAGCCTGAAAAAGAAAAGTGTCCATTCATCAGCTGTCACAGGTCTTACAAGTGCATTGCAAAATTATCTGCCCCCCTTCAAAAGTACTACCTGTTGCTGTCTGACCTTACAATGAATATAGTTCCAAATAGGACTTTGTTTAGAATCTACTCCAAACTGATCATGCTAAAATGCTTGTGTAAATAATATGACGTTTACAGAGAATTACAAGATTTCACATGCATATTGTACGTTTTGAACCCTTTTGCTATGACAACCCTAAATAATTCCATGTGCAAAATGACAGTTTAAAAGATCACAAAATCTGGGTAACATTCTTGTCTGTGGAAAATCTAAGTTTAATTTGACTTCAAAGTTAATGCATGTGACTCTGTAAATTCTGTAACATATTGAATATGAAGCTACAACTCACATACTAAATGCAAATTGACAATGAAGACCAATGACTATTTGAAACAAATGGATGATAGTGGCAGAGAGGCACTGATCAGGAGATGGTGATTCCTTTGAGTACAGTTAAATTCATCATGAAGAAGTGGATTGTGCATCATACCACCCAGACACTACATAGATCTAGTACATTGATCAAGTCACCTTTCTGAGCAAGCTAGAAACTAGTTAGGGATGCCACTGTGAAGTCAACAGCAACTTCAAAAGTTCTGCTATATACCGTCTACTGTATATGGATGTTTGGTAAGAACGATGTCTTTACAGATTCATCTTTACTCAAGGTTGTGGTAGCATCTTATGAGGGTGCTTCTCATCGGTAGGGGCTGAGGTTTGTCAGGTTTTGGGGAAAATCAAATGGTGCAAAGTACAGGCAAATACTGAGAAAACCTTGCTTGAGTCACCCAAGGACCTAAAACAGGGTTGAAAATTCATAGTTCAGCAGGACAATGACAAGAAGCACAAAGACAAAACCACAGAGAAGTGGTCTGATCAGAAGAGAGTGGATGTCTTTGAGTGGCCTAGTCATTGTCCTGACTTGAATCCAACAGAAACTTTATGGTGAAGCTTGATAATTGCAGCCCCCAAACTTACAGGGTTAAGAAATGGAGCAATTGGACCAGAAAAAAATGGGAAAAAGTATACCACCCAATTGTACAAAGTTAGCAGAGACCTATTCCCAAAAAAACTGACAGAAGAAATAACTGCCAAAGGTACTTCCACAAGTACCACTTAGGGGGGATAAATACTTGTGCAGTCAATAAATTTCCCTTTGTATATCTTCTTAAATACAGGCACGGTCTCAACGGGCGGAGC